AGTATTGTTAGATACTCCATATTTGTGCGAACGGTGCGCGCTTTGCACCTAATAATTTTTCGTGATTGCTGCACTAGCTTATTATTGGCTTATTGCACACCGAGCTCAGAGCCCATTGCCATGTCATCCCCTGCAATGATCCATACTCCACTTCCATATTCCACAGCCAAAGAACTTTCCGACTCCGGCGTCGCGGCCGCGGCTTTCCCCTTCAATTACATCTCCTGCAAACCCCCCGCCGCCGCGGCCGAGGACGATAACAACGAGGCCGCGGACGAGGCACAGATCCCAAGCATCGATTTCTCCTTGCTTTCGAGCAGGAACCCAGATAATCGTGCACAGATTGTCCGTGAGCTTGGCCGTGCTTGCGAGGAGTGGGGATTCTTCACTGTAAGTCGAACCATTATGCAAATAGCAACTATGAAGGAATGGATTGCGTTTGAGATGCCATGTGGCTCTGATTAAGCTAATTTTTGTTCTTGATCGATCTAGGTTTCGAACCACGGCGTGCCAGTGGCGCTGCAAAAGGCGATGATGGACGCGTGTGCAGGATTTTTCGATCTGACAGCGGAGGAGAAGGAGGATTATATGGGGCGGCAGGTGCTGGATCCGATCCGGTTTGGGACGAGCTTCAATTCAAAGGTGGATGATGTGCAGTACTGGAGAGATTTTCTCAAGGTTTTCCAGCATCCGGTATTCCATTACCCCACGAAGCCTACCATTTTCAGGTACATTTGCAATTTTTTATCCATTGCCTTCTGATTTTGGTGCATCAAAGTGGGTTTTTTTCACGCCAAAGTCGCCAAGGTGGAAGCTATTACAGCGTAAGCATCTTGGCAATAATTTTAAGACCTTTACCAATCGCATATTTACGCACCGGATTAGTTTGAACCACATTCAAGTTAAAACACCCTACACAATTGGATGACCAGAAAAAAACAAGAAAAATGAAGAAAAATATGCAGCAATTGAAAAGAGAGAGCCAGAAGCAGTAGAGGGTGAGGAAAAAGGTGGACTCGTCATTATTGAAGCATTTCCCGAAGTTTTCATCCGAGCAAGTAAAAAAATAGATTTTATAGGCAGGGAACTTATATAACTTATAAGTGAGATAATACCTGCTTATATAGATTACTGTTTTGTTAAGTCCACTGACAAGTAAGTTTCAGCCTATAATACAATATCACAATTTTGTACATACTGTGTACAATCCTATACACACTGTTTACAATCCTGTTTAAACTAGGTCGGGTTCGGGTTGACCCGTTTGGACCCTTTTCAGGCCGGGTTGGACCCGAACCCGACAAGTTGACCCGTTTTGACACTTCTAATTGCACATCTTTGAAGAGAAGTGTCGATGCATCATATGACGTCTGCTACAATAGTTTCATTCTTCCAATACTATTATTTTGAAATATTTGTTCTGTTTAAATGAATCCACTTTACCAACTTGCTCAACTATCTTCAATGCACTCCTATGAAATCCTGATCTATTCAATAGTTTATTTAGTTTATTGCAGGTTGACAAAAGCTCAAATTTGAATCCAAACGATATAATCATTTGTGCAGTTTCTCAAACTTGATCAAAATCACCCTAAATCGAACTTATTTATTTGTAATGGTTTGATTCAATTTTTCATTTTATTCAGTTTTTGTGTCCACCCCTAGTGTTCGAATGCCTAGCCCAAATTTGGCCTATTGAAAAAATTTTGGGCAGTCGATAATGTAAAAGGATTGGGTAGGTGTGGCTCATGTAGACTCAAACCCAAGGTCTACCCAAGCAAAAAATTTTGTTTCCAAGGGTTTATGGGATACGGAGCAAAGCCTAGTACTCTTCTCATCTAGGCTCATCTCTTCCCTTTGCTTTGTGGTTAGCCTTTTTTTTTTCTTACCTTATTGATCATAGCTAACTATAATGCACGTTATTATTATATAATTGACTATAACATTCATTAACATACCTGTATCATATTATTTTTTTATTATGATCTAAGGCCTAAATTTTCAAATTTTTTATCTGATCTCATTTGTTCTCATAAACTTCACTCTAAAAATCAGATATTGCTTAACTTTTCATCTTTCTTCCCATGCATTTCAACAAAATAAAAAAAAATCAACACCAGAGAGGTATTGGAGGGCTATTCTAGACATATAAGACAGCTCGGTAAAGATCTTCTTAACGCAATATGGGAAAGCCTTGGGCTAGAGGAGAATGATATGCAGGAGGCCTTAAGCCTTAAGTCTTGCTTTCAAATTCTAGTGGCAAACTTTTACCCTCCATGCCCAAAGCCAGAGCTCGCATTGGGCTTGCCTGCTCACTCGGACCACGGCCTTGTCACAGTTCTCATGCAAAACGGGACAGATGGGCTTCAAGTGATGCACAATGGAAAATGGTTAGGCGTGAAGCCCCTCCCCAACTCTTTCCTTGTCAACATCGGTGATCATATGGAGGTATGCATGTCCAATTAACGATATTGGAACTATCTTTTTTATGTTACATTGTTTCCTAACTTCTCAATTGCTTCCATTGCTCGTCTTTAGAAGTTTTGAAATCATCTAGCTAGCCATCACACATAAGGTTAAAAAAAAAACAAATTATAGGTCACAATTTTGATATCTATAATAATCTTTAAAAAGGGTTACTCAATGCTTGAAGCTAGCTCCAACAGTATTTTTTTTTAAATATTTTTTTTTTAAAATTTTTGGTGGATTTACGTAAATAGCACTTTATTTCATGCTATTTACATATCTAACACTCAAAATTTTAATATTATATTCTTAGCACTCATAAAAATTTTTAATATCAAATATATAACTCATATATTTCATTCTTACCACCCATACCATCGAATAAACTTTAATATTTCATTTTATGAACCCATATTTGTTCTATGAGTAGTACTGTAGTAGCATTGTAATATCAAAATTTTAGATGTTAGATATATAAATAGTAAAAAATAAAGTGGTATGTATGTAAACCCCCCTTTATATTTTTAAGCTAGCTCCAACAGTATGTTCCTTGAGAAGGGATTGATGTTAACAGCCTTATATTTGTA